GTATTTAGATCAATATTTGAATTTTGTTTGTCATTATATTGTAATATGCATGTATTTTTTGCTGCTAAAATACTGCATGATGTTTGATTGTGAAGTCTTGATAGTGTACATGTACTTTAAATGCAATATAGTGATATAAAATTTTAATAAAAATACACTTTTAAGTATTAATTAACTAACCAATTGGTTAAACCTCTCAATTATTCTCAACTATACACCCACACACATGTGCGTGTGTGTTATGAGATACAAACAGATAAATATATATATATATATATATATATATATATAAGTGAATTTTTATTTGTTAAAATAGAAAGAAAGTCTAATGAGTTGTAGCTAAATTGATATCAATGTCCTTTTTGTTTTTAAGGTCTCAAGTTTAAAATTTTTCTTTATAACAAAAAAAATAAAAGAAACTTTAATGACAGTGAAGGTTTCTAAGAAATTGATTTCACTACATTATATAGATTTGAATTTTTTTTTAAATAAATTTTCTTAAATAATGGTTATAATATTTAAACTAAAGAATTTATGAGAGGGAGGAAACTCTTTAACCATAAATCTATTTTTAAAAATTAAATAATATAGAACAAAGTTATCCCTTTCTAATGCTCTTTAATTTTATCAAATCTTTTTTGTCGAAGTAAAAATTATGAGTTTGAAATTTATATATGACTTGTTCTGATTAGATGAGATTTTGATCAAGTTTGACAATTAATCCTTGAAAAGTAATGGTGCACTATTTTTTTACTTTATTAAAAAAATAATTTGTTGTCGTCTAGGTGTTGTGACCTAAATAACAACAACCATTTGTTAAATTATTTCTCCCCTACCTTTAGTATTAAAGAATTTATTGTTTGATAAATAACTTAGGCTAAGTCCAAACACAAAGCTCAGCTAGCACTTCTTGACCCATTTTCAAAGATCTTTATGTGTGTGTGTGTGAGAGAGAGAGATTGCTTTTGAGAATATTTAGAAATGCAATATTGATTTTAAAAATATATTTTTTATCTTATAAAGATAAAAAATTTATTCAGCTCCGACATTTATGGTATTTAAGATGAGTAAAATTTTTCATTGTACATCAAATTAAACCAAATTAAAAATTGATAATCTCATAAGGAAAATCGTCTAGCTTAGAATGTGTATAATCACACTCGATATCATGATGATATTTAAAAAAATAAAAAAAAATAGGATTTTTAGTTACATTAAAAGAAAGATATTATAATTTCTAAAATATTTTACTTGAGATAAATTCTATTACTAGTTTTGTTTTAATAGTTGGGTCTAATATTTCTAACTTTTGAGATAATGAATATTAGAGGCTAATACTCCTAACTTTGTTATAAGTGAATATTAAAGGTAATAACTTGCTTTGAAGAATAGGCATTGAACCACAATAATAGCAAAATAGGCTTTGTGCCCACAGAAATAGATTTACATCATTTTATTTAAAATTCTTGTCATTTAGTGAATTTTTATAGTTGTTTGTTTAAAAAAAATTATTTTTTTTATTGGTGTATAGACCCAAAGGCTATTTTATTTAGATCAAGCTTTTAGTGTGCTTGATAAACTTATATTTAGAATACATATATCCATCAAACATCATTGACGGAGGACATTATCTGTGTCGTGTGCTTCTTCAACAATTTCTTTCCCTCTTCGCCTTGTGTAAATTATTCATTAAAAGTCCATTGACCGTATGAATAAATTAACTGCTCTTCCATTCAATGGCTGAACTGGCCTTGCATTTGCTTGATATCCCTGACAAAAAATGCAAGTTAACATGACGTATACAAAACAATTTACTATAAAAAGGTTTAATAACAAGCATTTTAGGTTTAATTTCACAAGTTTTTTTAGATTAATTAGTTTATTCGAGGAAGTATTAAGCATCAATTCTTGAACCAATTTTTATCAAATCTGTTCTAATTGGTTATTAATAGGTGTGGACTTTACATCATCAACAGCATCTCTCAACAGTTGCACTTGCTCCCTTGAAACAGTCCCAACCTACAAGAGATAAATAGCAATGAAAATATAAAATTAATGTAATAAGACAGAAGAAATTTAGACAGCAATCTCTTGGGAAATACGTGTTCCTAGAGAAATGGGCATGGAAAGAAGAACAACCTCCTTGACTACTGTCCATATAACACCCTCACTGCATGGAGGAGTTGAAAGAGAACCAATATATCTATACAAGTTTCTGCTCCCAAACTCTATTTTGTTTGGACTAAGAATTCCCAGACTCTTCTCTTGCTTTGTGACCGATTTTATATAGGGGGACAACTGCCAGAAATGAGAAAAGGGATAAGAAAAAAAAAAACCAAATGTTGTCTTCTATCAACTTCCAATTATAAATTACGAAGAAAGAGAAAATAATAAATTAAAGAAATACATGTGTGTAGCAATAACAAAAACCTTTGAAAGGAAGGGATCAGGTTCGCCATATTTGTAAAGTACTCCAACAACAGCTGTCTCTCCAAGAGAATTCGCATGAACTATGTGAAGCTCCATGTCATATCTGTTTTAAAATTTTGGCAAAAAATAATTAAAATGCAAAATTGATCGAAATCCCAGTTCCCAGATGATAAGAGAAGGCACAAGGAACATACGTTTTGCTATTGAATGTATGTTCAGAAGGTACATGCCAATGGGAGTGTTGCAGATTGTAATCAGTCCCATTAATGGTAATTTTTCCAGCGTCTCCTTTCCATGACACCTTATAAATTGAACGTAAATTTTAAGATGTAGTACCATACATAATTTTTAATAAAAAAAGAAAAGGAAAGGGAAAGGGAACATATACAGCTTCCTACGTACCATAACGTCATATCCCCTGCTAACTATAGTAGCTTTTGCTGGTTTATAATCTCTTCGCAGTTGATCCTCTTGCCCATAGAGAACTTTCACATTTTGGTCAAGAAGATCGATTGGAGATTGCAATTTTCCATCTCCACAAGCTTTCCATTTCGGGTCAAGCTGGCCCCAATTCGACGGTCCTCGACCAGTTGCTTCAATATAACTGAATGTAATTGTATCGTTTGTGGCTGCAATATTTAGAAAATATCATTAATGATGATAATTATATAGAGTTGCATCTAATATTTGATGGATGAAGAAATTTACCATACCAACTTTAAGTTCAAAAGCAACGCATATTGTGATGGAAAGAGAATGGAATGAGAGAATGAGTGAAACGAGAACCAAAAACCTCAAGTTAAGGTTGGTGTAGACTTTGGAGAAGGTACTCATTACGCTTGATTTCTTCTTTAATGTTTTTGGCCATTTTTGCGTCTTGTTGAGGGAGTGATTGATGATAGCGACAACCAGTTGAATTATATAGAGAAAGCTTTCGAAATATACAGTAGCATATTCGACAGCGACGGTGACAACAAGAGATTGAAATTTCAAGGAAAAATTCACGTTGCTTGTTGTTGTGATTCTTAATTGATATTAGTATTTATAGTCTAAAGTACCGATTCATGGCAAAACAAAGAAACCGGCCATATAACAGAGCAACTTACGTACGTAGAACAAGGGCAACAGCTGTATATACAAACACAGCAAGGATAATATGCCGTTGAAAATAATTAATATAAGGATATATTATATAGTTTCGGCCATATATTTGTGCTTTAAAATTTCAGCAACAGCTTCACATACAGAGTATAAATTAAATAATTTGTGGCGCGAATAGGGGGCGGAAACTAGTAGGGGATTTTTTTGTGGATGGGTCGTGGTGTTTATAACAGTTGCTTATTGGAGGATTATTATATTGATATATAATATTTAATATTATCTATATTTAATATGAAAATAGTTAATATTATCTATATTTAATATGAAAATAGTTAATATTATCTATATTTAATATGAAAATAGTTAATATTATCTATATTTAATATGAAAATAGTTAATATTATCTATATTTAATATGAAAATAGTTAATATTATCTATATTTAATATGAAAATAGTTAATATTACTAGAGATAAAAAAAAAATATATATAGTATAAATATATGGAAGAGGAAGGCAGTAACCTCTTTCTCTTCTCATATATTTTTTTTTGTTATCTTCCTAGAGCATATATTGTGTTATTCTCTTGATGTCTATTTATATGAAAAAAATAGTGTCATCAACTTCAGCTCATCTTTAACAATGATGGATGCCAAACTTTGACATTTGGTAGTTTGCACATGGACATGATTGTTGCATATTAATGACAACAATCCTAATAATTACTCTCTTTGCCATTTATATAGGTAATTATTCTTTTGTTTTTTTAGCACAAGCTAGCATCTTGTAGCTCTTCCAAGCTTACCATTCCGAAAGCACCAAGTTTATAGGTATTTACCATATCTTGCAATAACTAAAGTCACCAAAGCATATTTTCTCACACCAAAGAATCACTATAACCATATGGCCTGTCACTTCATATCTGAAGAGTGTTAATGCTTGTCTTTAGGCCACATGTGAGTCTCTACAAACAACTTCATTGAGCTTGGCTCATATCCAAGAGATGTAGCCCATAAGAAAAAATGTTGCAAGTTAAATATATGTACAAGTAATAACAAATTAGTTAATGATATATTTTATTTAAATTAATTTTACCACTCGTTTAACATGTGCAGCAAACAAAATGGAGCCGCCGGTGTGTGTGGTTATTGATTAATACTTAAACGTGTATTCTTATTAAGGTTTTGTATCATCATTTTGCATTTAAAGTATTAATAACTCCTTAACTAGAGCATGTTTTATAATAACAAGTTTGATAATAGAATATACATTTAATTTATGATAAATGTTCGTTTTAAATACAGGCTTATCACATAAATCAAATGATTGATTGATGAGTTTAACTACTGAAATTGAGAAGACAAAAAGATGGCTAAACTTAGAAAAGAGATGTTGGTTCAGTCCAAACTAAAACACTATTCGGTTATTGGATTATACCTGGAGCTGGAACTTGAATTTAGATCTGGGCTATATGGATGGAAAGCTAAGATATAGGCCTAAAACTTTCAGGAGAGTTCAAGATTCAAAAATGCCTAGACACTCTTTGATACTAAAACATAGGGTTAAAACTTGGATTATACCTTAAGTTGTAGAACTTTTCAAGTTCAAATTTTAGCAACAACGGAGAAATAGGAATCTGTCTTGTAGCCTAGATACTGTTTAATGTTCAACCTATATTTCGAGTTTTAGAAGTCCAAATATATCAATTTTTTTTTTTTTTGTAAATATGAAACAATTTCCCAGAACTTTCATGAAAACTATATGTTCAAATTCTGATGTTAGCAATGATATTTTTTGTAAACAATAAGATAAGAATTGTTACGAAGTCAAAAGTTGGTCATCCATTCAACAATTAGTCATCAAATCAATAGTTTTGAATTTTGGCCTATAAAAGGAGGCATTTTTCTTGCATTTAGGCATCTTGATTTTCAGATCAAGATCATATTCTTGATTTCTTTCTTTGTACTTTGTAATGTTTAAGTTTTATTTTATGTTATATTAATCTCTTAGTTATGCTTTTTATTTCATTTCCTTTACTTAGTTAACTTATATCTTATTTATGTTCTTATCTTGTTTATGTATGTTTCTCTCTTTTATTATGTTTAGTTAAGTTTATTATATTAAGGTGAAAAAGTTACACTAATAGTGTAAGAATAAGTATAGCAAGAACTCAACATGGACGTTAATGTTTGATACTAACATGCTTTGTATTTGTTATCTTATTCACTCTTAATACTTTGCTTGTTAAATGATTAATTTAGATTTATATTGTATAACCTATGTTATAATAAATGTTTGACCTTTTTATAGCCTACTGTATGGTTTAACAACACTTATGCTATGAAAAGAACTTGATTTGTTGTTAACATAAATTGATATCATGAATACTTGACAATATTTACAAGTATTAGTATTATTTATAATTTGATTGGAATCTCCTTTGTGTCTGGTTTCTAGTTGAGTAATAAAAAATATTTATACTATACTCATTTGAAATACCATTAGTGGATCCTCTAACTTTAATAATAATTTTTTATTATTATTTAATATTCACATTAATTTTACATCTCAAAGTTTTCTTTAACTCACCATCACCATCATCATCATCATCATCATCATCATTATCATCATTATTATTTATAATTTATATAGTTAACCTCCCTACGGTTTAACCCTGGTTTTGCCATGTCATTTATTACTTTGACACTTCTATATTTGAAAGAAAACATTAATCTTTTGGTTATGTCAATCACCAAACTATGAATTTTTTTATTCCAGTTATCAGCACCGACTTGTGAGCATTGTGCGAACCGCTTAGATTCACATGTTGAATTTATTGCGACCATATATCCCTCGAAATTTATGGCAATTTGAAATCACTCTAAACCGCCACATCATTCCAGGCTTAAAAACCGTTATCTTTAGTGTACTTTTTGGCTTTTTTATGATTCATACTAAAAATCACGCAACTTACTTTCATAGTGACAAATTAGATTTTAAAACAATTTTTTTTGTAAAACAAATATCATATTGCAATGAAATATGTTACTTAGTTGCCGCGTGATTTTCTTACACCCTCCTCACAACATTGTCATGCGCACTGTCCCGCTCAAATTTGTACTATGTGTAAATAATTTATTTAAAATAAAAATAATAGTTTATTTACAATTATAACAATAATTTATTAAAATTAAGCTGGAAATTTGAACTTAACACCAACATGAAATCTTCAAAACGATGCATCGATATAAGGTCGTCATTGAGGATGTCTGGAAACCTGACTCCATTGAAATAATGGAATCTCCATCATGATTTAAACGTCAATGTTATTACTCATGTGGCCTTAATGTTTGTGCACTTAAAAAAAATTAATTAAATATTAATTTGTTATTCATAAATTATGTTATAATTTAAAAAAATTAAAATAAAAACAAACTTACATTAAAAGGTCGTCATTCCAATGTGTTCGGTACTTACAGGTGAATTGATTCTGCTGTGAAGGCACACCGCCTTTACGTTGTAAAACAACGCTCGAAGAGGCAGCATCGCGAGTTGGCGCAGGTGCCTCTTTTTGATCGGCATCTAAGGACAAGTCATCCTCGTTGCTAGGAGAACTAGCTACAATCATATGCTCACGACATGCTGTTGATTTCATTTTACGTATTTATATAAATTTATACGAATAATTATATAATTAAATTTGATTATTAAAAAAATAATTTAGCAGCACCTCTCTTATACTGGAAATTATTCAAAGTTTTTAAACTTGCAAATATTCACAATAACTACAAACCAATTGACTCCATTGAAAAATCTTATTTATAACATAACATCTATACAAATTTAACAATAAAATAAAGGGAAAAACAACATTTAATTTTATATATTCAACTAACATCTATAAAAATTCATCAATAATAATTAAAATTATGAAAATAATTAAACATATATCATGCACTAATATAATAAAATTGAGATAAAATAATTATATTTAATTATCATTTACAAGGGAACTTTAACAATAATATTTAAAATTTAACAAAGTATTCAATTATTATGACAATATAAATAATACAATATATTGAATAAATTAAAAAAAATTATAGACTTTAGAAAAGAAAAATACTAGATGAATTAGTGATGGCATGTATGGGTGAGATGGAGGAGCTGGATTAATCAGTGTCCTTCGACAGCTGAATTATCTGTTTTTTCAGGTGAATGAATGATCTCCTGCTGAAGAATTGGTGGAAGAGTTTGTCTTATTAAATCTATTGTAAATAATTTGTCTTTGTTCCCTATCCCTATGACGATTGCTGCTAAAATTGAGTGGCTGATCAAATCCTTGCTTTGATCTGCTATGGAAGAAGATCCAAAAGATCATGATGTCAAAAATAAAAAATAAGACCAGAAACTAGTCTTGACACTGGTCTTTGGAAAGATGACGCTGTCTCAAGTATTAAAAAAAATAAAAAAAATTATGTACTTGTGATTGTTTATTTAAAATTAGACCAGAAACTAGAACTTCAAATATTTCTCCATCCAAGCAAAAAACTAAAAAACCAGAGTTTTTTAAATTTATTATGAGTTTGAAAAACATATTTTAGAGTTATTTCACGGTTTTGTTTTACAAGTTCTTCAATTTTTTTCTAAATGAATTAAGAAGGCATGAATAATGTATTTTTTTTTCTTTTTTATCCAAGTAGTACATTTTAGCAATGTAAGAAATTAAAATTATTTTTTATATATTTTCATATTTAGTTAGTGAGATAATTTAATTCTCATCATAATATAAAATAAAGGTTTCTTTTGAGTTAACAATGAAAAAGATGGTTTCTAGTTTGAATGAAATAAAATGAATATTCTATAATTAGATTATTACATAAATAAATTATTGACATGATAAACTATGATTTTGATTTGTTTATAAATTACTTGTCTAGATTGTTACTTTGCTCACACTAAAATAACTCAATATGTCGTAGTACCAAAGAATAAAATATGAGTATATCTAATTTCTCTTTTATTTTGTTCTTCTGAATATTTCAATTCATGATATCTAAAAAATTGCTCAGTTGCAAATTTTATCAGATATCTAGAAAATAATATCACCCTTTTTCGAGAAAAATTAATCCCATCACCCTTTTTCGAGAAAAAATAATCCCAAAATATGTGCATTTATGTGTGATTATATCTTGATGCAATTATGTGTGATTATATAGTAATATATTGTGTGAAGAGAATTTTTGTTTTTTCCAAAATAATAAAAAGGACAATGAAACATGTCTCTTTTTTTTACTATATAATTAATTATTATCTTATTAAAGAGACAATCTAAAATGTAATTAATTGGATGGTCAAAGCATATGTAAAGTACAAAGTTCAAATATCTTAAATGACATTATGAAAAGTACAAACGGACATATAATTTATGAAATTTACTTAATTATAAACTATTGTTATGCACATTTATTTATTTACAAGCGGGTTTATAAAATTTAAACTTGTGAAATAACCAAGGGTTTGAAAAGATCATTAACAAAAATAATATTTAGTTATTGTAAGTATATTCTTTTAAAAAATAAATTATAACTTTGATTATAGATTTGACTAGATTGAATAACTTAATTTTATTTTAATTAAATAAAATATAAGTAAAAACAAGAAATAAAAAAATAAAAAAAATCTCAATAACCTAAAAACATCTTCTTCTTCTTTTCCTAGTTAATTCTTTGAATCATCGTGAAGAAGATGGTACGTTGATTTCAACAACATAGTAAAAAAGAATTTTTAGCTATTAAGAGACGTCACATCCAAAAACTAGAAGATTACGAGCACCTTTTATACATGTTCGGTGCACTTATACTTTTAATTTTTTAATTATATTTTATTATTATTAAAAATATCAAATTATCATCGATCAACTTAATTATAACTAAAAAAAATAGATTAAAAATACAAGGAATCATGAATACTAGTTTTATTTTTTTTTACTTTTAAAGATAATTTAATTATTTTAATATACTTTAAAAATGTAAAATATTTGAGTTAACTGTAATCAATTTTATAATGAATAAAGAACCTCATAAAAAGATCACACTTTCTCATAACTAATTCAGTGATTTTTACTATATAAAAAAAATATCATTACACTTTTTGATGAATAATAACTCTTCTTGTATTAACATTGTTTTTCCAAAGCAAATTAGTTTCGTTAAACTCCTCTGAAATTTAGACAAAGATTTAATAAAACTGTCTTATTAAATTAAATAAAAACGACAATAAAAAAGCTTGATAACAGCAGCAATAGCATCGCCAGCAACTTCATGGAGGCTGCCATGAGCTTAACCAGTCAGAGCAAGTTTAGCTCTGCTTTTCTACTAAAAAGATTGAATTGCTGTGGCCATTTCTCATGAACTAAAAAGGATTTGTGAAAGAGAAGAATTCCTTTCCAGCTTTAGCTTGCATCGCACGAAAAGCAGCCTCTCTGCTCCTTCAATCTCTTGTTTATTTCATATGGCTCCGGTATATACCATAACAATTTCACATCGTACAAACAAACTTAAGGATCTCACTCTCGTGGGTGTTTTCGAAGAAAAATATGTAAAAACCATAAACATTAACTTCATTGATTGATCCAAACAAGTCATTCCTCCTCCAACCCAGTGTGTTATTGGTAAGATGTTGTTTGGTACTTTTATAAAAATATTTTTTTATTGAGATTACATTTTTTTATTTTTTTATTATTAACATATTAAAATTATTAAAAAAATATTTAAAAATAAATTTGATATTTCTACAAGCAAAAAAATATTTAAAAACAAGTAAGAACAACAAAAACAAACACTTCATAGGACCAATTAGAACAAATCAATTATTATATAACCCTTAACGTGTTATTTTGTTACAAATTCTCTTGATTTTTTTTTTAATTTTATTATTTGTTTTATTTGCAACGGACAAGAAACAATGTCACTTCTCTATTATTGGTAGTTAAAAGATTTTGTTCAACTGAACTGTAATCATTTGCATGAAACCTTTCATTTAAGACCTCACAATGAGATCTAAAAACAATTTTACATCAATCATAATAAAACTATCGCATTATTTAACAAGTTTGTAGGAAATAACTTATAATAATTTTACGCTAAATTTGTCGTTTTGAACATGTTTGAGCTTCTTCTTTCTTTCTTTTTCAATCATGATTAAAGAGAGTATTTGTTATTGTGATATGATTGTGTTTTTGTTTTTAATAAATCTTTTATTTTTACTTTAAATTTATATTTTTTAATTTTTTTATATATTAATGTCAAAAATAAAATTTTAAAAATAAAAAGTATATATTATTTTAATATATTTTTAAATAACAAATGTTATAAAAAACAACATTATCATAATAAATAAATAAATAAATAACACAACCAAAAGCACGTAACAATAATGTGCATTTGAATGAAATCTTTCAACATCATGGACGAGAGGTAACATTATTTGATGTCGAGTATGTTTTGATGAAAATTGATAAAACCTAATATCTTAAACTTAATTGATAATGTGGAAATGAATCAAGGACTAAAGTGATACTTTTCCAGAAAATAATCCAGGGATATACTTGATATTTCACAAAACCCAAAACCCACAAAACCCACAAAAAAAATATGCTGTTTACATGTAGATACACTGATTTAGTGTGTTTTTGATGTCTTAGATTGTTGAATTTTATGAAAGATTTGACTTTTAATGGGTTTTTGTTTGTATAGATAGGGGGAGTGTGTTTTTGTGGGTTTCTGGTAATGATTTTTTTATTGCTCTTGGTGTTTTTTATTTTTTTGCTGCCCTGAATGGGAAAGAACAAATCTTTTTTAAAAAAACTTTTACCACTCGCGCCTGTACATATATAGTGAATGTGTATTGTTTTTGCTTGATTAATTTTTTTAATTTGGAAAAAAGGTTTAATTTTTTACACTTACACCTATTGATACTGCAGAAGTGTGTAGTTGCTTGATTGAATTGTTTAATTTGAAGAAGATAATTGATTTTTTAACACGTAAATGTGACTGTACTTGTACCTATAAATATATTGAAATTGTTTGTTTCTACAATGATGAAGATTTTATTGTTGTTGCTGGTGGCGTTAGATATGATTGAGAGGAGGGTAGAGGTAGTGGCAAGATTGAAAGCATTGGAGGAGGCTGCTACACCCCTGGTGGCATTCTTGCAGAATGCAAGTGCTGTGCAGGAGTTGAGGGCCGATAAGCAGTATAATCTTCAGATGCTTCATGACCGTTATCAGGTTTGTTTTGTTTGCAAATCTTCATTTAGAGAGTGTAATGGGTTGGTATTCTTTCTATCTTTTATTGTTTTAAGTGATGTTTTATAGGAATTAACTAGGAACTAAGAGAGATTTGAATTGATATTAGGAATTTCGAGGTCTTGTCTTTATTCATGTTGCAACATTGAAGAGGGTATTTTGTCGAACTTAATAGTTAATGAGCAATAGTGATTCTTATTGTGAAAACTAGTGATTTTAATCAAAGAGCCGATTACGTAATAGTTAATGAGCAATAGCTCTCAGAGGTGTCTACAACCCATTTTCTTGTTAGAATCTGATGTCCACCTGTTTTACTTCCTTCAAGGACTAAAGTGATACTTTTCCAG